CCTCCTCACCTGCCCCAACCGGTTTGTCCCCCGCCCTTTGACCACCACTCAAGCCCCTGTCACAGCATCTCCCAACCCACCCGGCCGTAAACTTCCAACCCCACCGCCATTTACATCACCTGGACACAAAAACATGCTAACACTGCAACACCAACCCCATCCAAACCGCAAATGACCCCCCACCTTCTCCACGGTGGCCAGGAACGGCCTCGTGCTGAGGCGGTCGTACAGGTTGCTCCACAGGTGCTGGCGCAGCATGTAGGCCGACGCCGCCGTCTCGCGCCACGCCTGGGGCGGCCACAGGTGTGACCGCTCGATGCCCCACAGCCGCTGCCTGCGCGCGCGGGTGCAGGCGCGCGGGTGCGCGGCGGCGGCGGTGGCGCCGACGGCCTCAGTGATCGGTGCGCCGGCCTGGGTCGAGGGCCAACCAACCGTCGGCCCTGCTGCCACATAGGGAGCCGCAGCCTGCTGCCACCGCAGGCCGCCTGAGCAGATGGCTTGTGCCACCAGCAGGATCCGATGCTTCTACTTGCAAGAACCCCCAATTTGGCGCATCGGGGCGCAGTCGCGAAGTTTGGGGCACACCCCGCGCACCGTATGTCCTTGAGCTTCGCTGCGTAGGGCGCCATTGGTGTGCCCTCCCCCCGCTTGTGGTACACCTGCGGCCTCATCAGGCGGGCGGTGTGGCATCAACACGACAATGGCACCGCCAGCAGGGCAATGCTCGTCCGTCAGGCACGGCTTGGCATGGCCGGCTGCCAGCGAGCTGGTCCAGGCAAGACATGATAGGGCTTGGCCACCCGCCAGGTTTAAGGCCCCCCCTCTCCCGGGAGGCGCAGGCGTCACGCGGATTCTCGGCAGTGCTGCAGGTTGTGGACAGGCCACGCCTCGCACGCCGCCTCCCTTCAAGTGTGTGCCGTAACCAGGGCTGCCGGATGAACACATGCATGCAACCTTGGCGGGCGGTGCGTGGCCGCCGCAATGGGGCCATGTGTGCTGTCGCAGGCTCGCCACTGCAAGCGCACCTTGACGACGACCAGCCCCCCATTGTCGTGAACACACAGCAGGGTCTTGATGAAGCGCCCGCTGCCTGTGGCGCGGCGGCAGCGGAGGGGGGTGGGCGGCTGTGGGGGCGCGGCCGCATGGGGCGCCGCAGGGCGCCGCAGAGGAGCGGGCGGCGCCGCCACCTTGGAGCATGTGACCGATTGGAGCCAAACTGCCCTTCCAAGATTGTGCACGTGGCATACCTAGCGTGTCTTTGACAACAACTGGCAGCTCCCCCACGTCAGCCGCCAGCTTCTGCGGCGCTGCGAGCTGGTTCCCCATGGCTGCGCTTCAATTGCCCCTGCGCGTGCGTCGAGCTGCGTGAGGAGCGTGGCGCTCTCGATGGCGCCGCTGGTCCAGCCCACTGCCTGGGCGCTCAGGCGCGCAATGTCCAAGTTTTCAACATACTCTTCTATGGTCTTGTGTGCTAGTGAGGGCCTAGATCGGCGTACAGTTATAATTGATCAGCTCGCAGTGACAACCAACGCTTCGGCGTCCATATCTGCATTATGAATATTTCAAAGACGATGTTTTCATGAGACTGATCACACACACTCTCTACTGTACATGCGCATGCACAGCAGTCTGTAGAGCTCGATCTTGCATGCTGTGCCCATCAACATCAGAGAATCCAGAAGTCACGCTTGCAAATTCAGTGGGATTCATCCACACTCAGCTGGTGTGGCCTTGGCACGCCCACACCCGACACTGCGTCACCAGCCCATCGACCACATGACCCCCTTGACCGACTTGCAACATTCGTCCCACGACGTGTCACAGCACATTGTGAGACCACCCTGCCGCGCTGGACCTCGCCCCACTGCCTGCCATGCCATTCCAACATGAGAGTATGCATGAGGGGTCCAGCCTGCATCTGCTTGGGTGAATGATGAGAGGGTCTTCACTTGTTGGACTGACCAGGGACATTTAGGCTGGCGATGTGGTGGGTGACACCTCAATCAATGGGTTGATTACAGCTGATGCAGGACAACACCAATCAAGCAGGTGTGAAATATGCATGAACCAAGACAATTAAATATGTGCAGCAAAGTAGTACTTATGCAAGGGCTGCTGTGATTCACACGTGGCCAGGCAGTGCTATCACCACAGCGTTCCTCTGTGGCCATGCACATGCCCGCCCATGCAGAGCCAAGCATACAACTTGAGCATTATCCCCAACTGTTGGCCAACGCCCACCGCTCACCACCTCCCTTGTTCCAATTTGCAGGCCGCCCTTGTTGCCCTACGAAGCATGTCAACTGGCTTCAAAGTTTGCCACTCCCCCGGGCTGCTGCACCGCATGCCATGCCCCCTGGCGTCGTGTGCTCCTTCAGCCCCGAGGCTGCGCGCGCAGCAGCTCCCTCTTGACGAGGTAAAGATTCTCCCCGGGACCCAGCGGCGCTGATCCCCTGGAGATGGCCGCGTCGTCCAGAAAAGGCCCCTGCGTTGGGGTGCGGCGGGTGACAAGACAGGCCCTGCGCTCGGTGCCATAGACTAAATGTGCGCTACAGAAAGGTCGATGAATCGCCACAGAGGGGCCAAGGCAGCGTGGCCGGCAGGGCCAGCACGGCTGACTCTGCACGCACGAGAGGAGACGCCATCGCTGCCGCAGAGAGCTGCATGTAAGCCGTTCAGTGTGCGCCTGCTCGCGTGTACCTGGAAGCTGCTGCCTGATATCGCATAGCCAAACTCAGATAAAAACCTGCGCGTGTTTAGTGCATGGCACCAGTGAGAAGAATACTGCATGGCGTGAGGTGAAAGTGTGGCGGGGTGGCAAAGTGGATTTGTGAACACGAGTGCGGCGGCGCAAAACCAGTCTCTTCCAGCTGGGGCTCCCTCGGGGCCTCTTGGGCCAAGAGGCAGGTGAGTGGTGTGCGAGGTGTCACCTCAAGAATTTCTTGGCGCGCTCAAGGCCGAGGATACCGATATTGCACTCTGTGGATGACAAAAGATCCAGCATGAACGTTTCAGCAAGGAGGGCTGTCACTCTAGCGGCAAGGGTGCAACAATTATGTAGCGTGCTGCTGGGGATGCTGCTGCTGCCGCTGCGTGGCTTGTGGCAGGCCTACCAGAATTTAGGGCTGCAGAGCACATGCATGAGAGCATGTCCTCACCGGCAATGATGTAGAAGACATTGAAGTTCTGCAGCAGGCCGCTTGCGCCCTTGAGCACCTCGCTCTCAAAGCCCTCCACATCAATCTTCATGAACTGGGGAGGGGGGTGCCGTGCGTGGATTGCACATGTTGCATCACATGCCACAGCGTACGACGCTGGGCAGGCACATGTTTCACAAGCAACACAGTAAGAAAGTGTGCAGGCATCAAGCAGGCATGGCCAAATGTGTTGTGCGATGACTGCTCCAGCGGCTGCAAGTTGACCAAGCCGGCCTTTGTGTTGGTATGCGCACAGGTCGCAGCCCTTGAATTGCAAGGAATGCACTCTCTGCTGCAGCACGCGCGCCCACCTGCACGTCCTCCTCCACCAGACTGTCCAGCCGCATCACGCTCATCTCTCCGCGGACCTGTTCAGGGCACGAAAGCGGCTGCTTTGGGACACACCCAGCAAGAAGAGTGTCAGGTGGCTCCAGGACTGCACCTGGGGAGCCACCTCACCGATGAGGAAGTGGTGGTTGAAATTGGCCAAGCATTTCACCCTCAAGCAGCACAGCACGAGCCACTTTGGTGGACTTCGTATTGATCATCATACAGAATCGCTGCCACTCAGTGGTGCTGATGGCCGCGTCATTGTTTGGGGGCAAGGTGATGCCTGTGGCGTGCATCAGGAGCGCACCCTTGCTCATCATCCGGTCTCAAGATCAGTTGGACCAACCTGATAATTGTGACTTGGTTTTGTGTGATGCTTGAGGTAGGCATAGGGGTCTTGATCGCAAAGCGTGTGGCCGTCGCCGCGGTTTGTGCCGGCGCTGATGATGTGGCAGGTAGCCCTCCTGCGTACAAGGTAGATGAGGCATGTCAACAGGCGCGGACTGGAGACCACAACATAGAAGGTGTCACGCCAGACTTGCTTGTGTGAGTCCAGCTTTGTGTGGCATGCTTTGATGCAGTCTGGTCATACGTAATCCCTGCCTCCCACAGTACTCACTTGGTTCCTAGCCCTGTGCCATACAGCGCCACACGGTCCATGAGCCAGGGATTGGCGCAGAGGGACGAGCGCACCAGCTGGATATTGCTGGCCATGGCTGCGCGAGCAAGGTGGGGCCAGCAGGCACGATCTCATCGACACCCAGATCCGAGGCAGGTGAAGAGCGTGCCGTCTCCAAATGTGAGCAGGCAGGTTTGGCGCCACGGGGCACTGTCACAGGCAGAAGGTATTCCAACATGAAGTGGGCAAACACCGATGGGCCCGCACCACACACCTTCAAAGGCGGCGACCCTGCCGCCTGCTGCGGCAGCGTTTAGCGTGAACCAGCCGATGTTGGCGCCCACATCCACGACTAAAGGCGACACTGTCCGCCGCCATTTCGAGCGGTCCCCCAGGTCCGCCTTTCTCTGTGGCACAGGTGCTCGCATGGCCCTGCGGTGTATCGAGGTAGGAATGGTGCATGCTGCTCAGTGACTGGAGTAGGAGGGCGGCCGTATGTGTGCAGAACATAAATGCCTGACAGGCACCCAGAAAAATGCAAAGGTGCAACAACTTCTGTGCTCAATAAAGGTTTCCTGGGCAGTCATGCAAGTCAGCTCCTGAAGTCTTCCTTTCCGGCAGTAGAACGGCAACACGACCGCGCGTTGAGAGGGCAGGCTGCCCAGCTGCCCCCCATCCCGGCCCAGCAGCCCGGTCATCTCACCACAGCATCTGCTGGGTTTCGTGAGGCTCCCATGAGTGCAGGTTCATGATGGCGGTGCTGACGATGTCGCCGCTTGCATGGACGAAAAGGCTGACGTTGGCAAACGGGACCCGCTGCATGGAGGGGTCGTCCAGGCTGCCATTCCTCGAGCTGCGATGCAAGCGCAAAACACGTACAGCTACTTTTGACGGGGATGTTGGCATGGCAGCACACTTTATGTGTGCACATGCGCCAAGTGCAAACTGACAATGACGTGCTATGCGCGCTGCCAGAGTCTTCCAGACTGTCCGTCCAGCATAGCCGTGCTGCGCCACGCCCTTGGTGCGCATCAGCAGTCGCTGTGCCGTGGAGGGGCTGCAGCTGCAGAAGCTGGCACGACCTTGTGCCCCATTTGACACGAGCGCGCACGCGCTCGCGCACTCGCACACGCACGCGTGCGCACGCACGCACGCACGCACACACGCACACACACACACACACACACACACACACACACCGGCCCGACCGCCCTCGCCCGCGCCCACCTGCACCACAGCTCCTGCTGGAGGCGCACCAGCTCGTGCGCGCGCCCGCTGCTGAGGTCCGCACTCATCTCTAGCAGCGCCGCAGTCGTCATGTCGACGATACTGTCCAGCGGCGGCAGCAGGGGGCGTGCGTCCGCGTGTGCGTTCCCCACGGACGGCGCTGGCGCGCTGCCGCTGCTGCTGCCGCCCCAGCTAACTTGGCCTCGAGCGCAGGCTGAAGCAGCCGAGGAAGCGCCGGCGGCGCCATCGCAAGGGGGGTGCAGCGGTTCGGCTGTGATATGGCGGGAGCTCCTGCCCAGTCTACTTGGCGCACCAGTGGCGGCCAGAAGCAGGGCGCACAGCAGCAGGGTACCTGCATGCAGCAAGAGAGGGGCGGGGGCAGCGCAGTAGCGCAGCAGGAGTTGATGCAGCACAGGGCAAGCAACAACCTCATTCGGTTGGCGTCCAATAGTGGACAGCCGCGAATCAGCATGGAGAGAAGCTGTTGCAATCAACCCGCACCGCTCAAGGCCGGCAGCCATCTGGGGCGGGCCCTCTTGTGGCGAAGTGCGCCTCCTGGTGCGGCGCTGCTGAGTGGCGATGGCGTTTTGGGGCGCATGACTTCTGTGGCAGCGTAGCTGCACAGAACAAATGACGTTATAACTCTCAGAGTTGTGTACGACTGATACTGAACTGCAACCTGCCTCAGAGCAGACAACACACGCGCAGCATGATCAAGGTGACAAAGTGTTTGCGTCGCCTCCAAGGTTTCCCCTCGGGTTGGCGCGACGCCTCACAGAGACAGGCCCGCAAGTGCGATCCGTGCGGTTCAATGTGTAAATCTGTTCCATGGCTGCCAGGCAGTCCCACGTGCATCGGTACGGGGGTCGGGTGGTGCGTCGTGCCCTGATGACTCTGCATGCGCAAGCTTTCGAGATCTGATGTACTCAATTACATTTTGAATAGCAGTGCCGAGTTCTTGAAAGCGCTACAGACATCACGCAGATCTTGGAGCCGTGCGCCCCTGGCTTGCCTTGCAGCGCGGCATGCGGAGGGTGGAATAGTTTCAAAACAGTGTCATAACAAGTGAACCTGTCCACGCGCATCTCATCCCTCCATGTGACAAACGTCACTTACTGTTCAACTGTACGGTAGTGCCAGACAACAATCGGAATCATACGCAACTTGTGTGTCAAGCTGACATACAGTACATGGGCTGCACTCTCTTGTTGGCCGTGAGCACTGAACTGTCCAATCATATCTCCACAAACTGCCCGCCTGTACTCGCCTGCGCCTGCGCGGTCCTCCTGGCAGCAATCGGATGCTCCAAATACAGGTCTCATTGACGACAGTGACCACCACAGATCAAGTGTCGCATTCCACATCTGCTGGGTTTTACAGTGCCGGTCATGGCTGGTCATCGCCGGTCAAAAGGCCAACCAAGGGCCACCGAAGCCAAAGTGAAGGGCTGATGCGCCGTCACGACAGCGGACAAGGTGAATGCCGAGCCGCGCGCTGTGCCTTCATCCGCGGCCGCCTCCTGCGGCGCCGCCCCCAGCCGCCATGAGCGCCTTGGTGTGCCCCACCAGCGCCTTGCGCATCGCGGCCGCCACCTCGCGGCAGCCCTGCACCGCCAGCTGCACGCACTCGTCAAACGCCTCGGCTGCCAGGCGGCCGTCCATCTGATGTGGTGTTGGTGGCAGATGCATATTGAAGGGGGGCGGGGTTGAGGGGTGCAGGCTGAGAGGAGCGGTGGTTTGACGTGGGGATTTACAGCCCAACGGGGACCGGATAAACACACAAGCGTGCACACACACACACACACACACACACACACACACACACGCACTTGCGTGCGTGTGTGTGCACGCACGCAAGCCAAAACATTGTCTCACACCCAAGAACACATACCAACACATACGAGCACCCAAATGCCCGATTGGCCATCACCAGCACACACTTGCACCCCCCACACACATACCCCATTCGCATGCACACAAGCACACAAGCACACGTGCACTCACGCACACGCACCCACGCACCTGCAGCAGGACGATCTTGTCCAGCCCAGGCTGGTACGCCACAGCAACATCGGGCCCCCCTGCGCTGTCTTCTTCGTAATTCATGTCCAGCAGCGGCGTGGACGCCAGGTAGCCGGCCGCGCAGGCCGCGACCGTGTCGCGCAGCTTGATCCCTGTGGGGGTGTGGGGCGCGGCGGGGGAAGGGGGGCTCAGGTATGCACGGGAGGGGGGAAGCAGGATGGATCGTAGTGGATGCAGATAGCAGGGCCCGTGCGGCATGGAGGAGGTGACGACAGAGGCTGAGTTGCGGACGCACGAGGGCATGTCGGGGGAGTTTCAGGCGCACGCAGCGGCGCGAAGCCCTAAAAGCGTGGCCCTTTGCAGCGGCAAGGCCCACCCGCGTCGGCGAGCGCGAGCATGGCGGCGTTGATGCAGGCGCAGCGAGTGCCGCCGTCCGCCTGGAGCACCTGCAAAACGGGGCAAAATGAGGCACAGCTTGCGTGGGCGTACTACTCGGCTGGTGTTGCTGCCTTCTGTGATTGCTGTCCCGGGCTATTGACTTGACCCAGGGAATCTTCCTTGTGGGCCCATAAAACTTGCATGCCAGCACGCAACCACTCCGCCGCCACGGCGAGTTGATTGCCGCCGCCCCTTCCGCCAGGCCCGCCGCCCTCAAATCCCCCCGACAGATCGCATCCAACTCCATGACATCACCAACCTGCACGTACACGTCGATCTGGCTGCGCGCATACTCCTCGAGCTGTATGGTCTGCTCCAGGGTGTTGCGGATCACAGAGGACAGCTCCGTCGACCGCCGATCGCTCTTGCCGCGCCGCCGCCGCTCGCCTGCGGGGCGCAGCACACGGGTGCCACCGGAACGCTCTATTGAGCGCTAAACGCACGCCCGTGCGGCTCATGCTGCATCAGCCTGCTGCCAACGGCAATTCTGCCGTGCCCTGATGGCATCACAGCAATTCCTGCGCTCTGATGTTTGACAGCGGTGAAGCACCCGTGGTGCCACAGTGACGACTGTGCGCACAGCCTTGCTGTGTTGAAACGGCTGTCGGCGGGGCTCGTCCCATGCTCTTGAGCGCGACGAATCCGAGCAGCAGGCTCTGCTGCTCACCTGTGCTGAATGCAGCCATTGCGTATTCGCACTTCACTATGGCCCGGTCTGTTTTCAGCTGCGACCGCACCTCCACCTCGCGCGGCCCAAACACAGACGCCAGCACCTGGGGTCGTGCGGCAGTGGCGGCGGCAGCGAGGCGGTGTGGGGCAGCGCCGAATTGCGGGGCCTGAGGGGCGGCACGCAAGGTCTGTCCAGCGTGAGGCGCTGATTTGCAGTGAGCGCGTGTCGAAAGGGCCGCCGCCACAGATGTGCACCGGCAACGCTGCTTAGCGTGACTGCGGCAGCCGGGCTCGACCCCGTGCTGCCGCAGCACCTGCAAACAGCCGCTTTCACGCATGCACGTGTGCATCCGCACGCACACGTGCGCGCAGGCGCAGAAGAAATTAGTTCGCCACGCACACACGCGCGCACACACACTGCACGCATGCATGCACACACTCTTCTGCACACGCATGCGCACACGTACACATCGATGAGCTGCGCCGGCGCCAACCCCGTGTAACACCCAGGCTCCGCAGCAGCGACATCACGCAGGTATCCTCCCTGCGCACAAAGCCGCACCTGCGTGTTGCCCATCTGAAACATAGCCGAGCCGTCTGCGCTCTGCAGCACGCCGATCTGGCTCCGCATCCGCCGCAGCTCCTTAGGCCGCCGCCCATCCAGCCGCAGGCCGTCGCTGATGAACTCCTTGCGCCCCATGGCGCCTCCACGCCGTTGGTGCTGCTGGAGGCCAGAAGGTGCGGCTTCTGCAGCTCTCTTATGACAGGGGTCCTCCAATTGCGGTTGCTTTGCGCAGGACAGAAAGCCGTCCTGGGGAGAGTCAGCGTCTGCTGCTGTGGGGTCTGCGAATGTTGGCCGCCGCAGCAGCAGCACGGGCAGTGTCAGCAGTCGCCCGACAGCAACGCCTTTCAGCTCGCAGGCTGTCACTGAGTCGGGAGTAACGATAACGATCAGAATAATTCCGTGCACTGCGTGCACACGGCCTCCACTGAAGGGTAGATGAAGCAAAATGAAGTGTGAGTGGGCAAGCGGAAAGGTAAGTCAACTATAAGGATGTGCTGTACAAGTACAACCGAAGAACCGCTACAGGCCTCATCTCCCTCCTGGTAGATCACGTGATCTGTGCGCCTGTCCCCTTGGTCTCCCTGGGCCTTCTCCTTAAAAAAGCTACTTGAATTATCATGTCGGCCACATGATTCACCACAGGAGCTTATTACTCTGCCAACAACGCCTTGATAACAAAATCGCTGACCACAGTTGACCGTTGACAGCAAGGAATGCCGGCTGCAAGGGCGGCTCATCAGGCTGTGTGTGGCCGTGTTCAGTGAAGCTGAAAGTCTTGGGATGCTGGGAATACCCCCGTGCAAAACTATCCCGCACGTTTCTGACCGGCAGGCAACCCTGAAGGCGGTGGCAAGGTTCAATGCACACCTAACAAGCCAGCTCGCGCGATCATTAGTTGGGAGTGTATTGCAAGGCCCGGTAAGCCGTGAACAATCGTGGCTGATGCTGCGTCTCGAAATGTGGTAGCGGGTCACAGGTGCGCACAGGGTCAGCCAACCTGCAACAGATGGGATGCTAGGCCCCATTGATAGGGACGAGAGGGGCCCCACCTCTGAGCACCTCGGCGTCCGATTTGTGCCGTTGTCTACTGCATGGAGCGCAGAATGTCTTCTGGCGCCAGATCCAGCATGCCGCGCCTACCGTTTACCACCAACGCATCGGCTGCAGCGTCTGGAAACCTCAGGGTGGCCGTTGATCATTGCATCCCCTGGCTGAGGACCCATTCGGTGAACTTTCAGGGAACGGGCAACCCCGTGGTGCCCAGGGCGAGGCACGAGCAGCGGCACAACCGCCTTCCCACGTTCCGTGGTGATCTGCCCAGATATTGTCGTCATTGAGAGGGTGAACGAGCGGGTGCCCGCCCAAGTGCTGCGTTCGCTTTGAGGCGCTGGGCAGTCAAGGCGTCAGGCCCCCCCCCCCCCCGGCGACCGATGCCTTTGGGGCTACGGGTCGCCTCTTTCATTCATTGTGCATTCATCCAAGTGCGCCTGCTGCACGTGCAGTTACTGAAAACAATTATTGATGCTGCCTTGCTCATCACAGTTCCTGGTCACGGCCGCAGACGATCCGGCACAAAAATGAAAGGTGTCACCCATCACCCGTGACATCATCGGTAATGTCATCCGTCTGAGCTGTCATACGCCTCCACAATAAGCTGCTCTGCATCCACCTCCCGCCAGTACTGGACCTGGGTTTGGGTTGGAGTACAACGCCTTGAGGTGCGCTTTTGCGTCAATGGCACGCCGATGGACCAGATACGCGGCCGGCTTGGCTCGGATCTGACGAAAGCCAGGGCGACCAGCAACCAAGCTAGAGAGGAACGTCAGCTGCGGTACTCAACACACTCCCTACAGGGTCCACTGGAGACTGCTTGACCCCGCCTTGCATGGAAGTGCGTACCTCGCTGTCAGTGGGGTGGATCTGAATCGCACCCTCCGCTGCTGCCTCATCACGGCCGTGGCCGCCATCGCCAGCCTCTGGCGCACTCGCGCGCCGCTGCCGCCTTGCCGGCCGCTGCTCCCGCGCCGCCTCTTCCCCAGCCGCCCCGCCGCCGCCGTCTGCTCCTGCCGCCGCCGCCGCCGCTGAGCACGCGGCCGCGGCAGCGCGCAGCGCGCGGCTGCTGCCGGCGGCGGCGCGCTTAGCAGGTGCAGGCCTGCCTTCAGAGACAGCTGGGTCACTGGCACGCCGCCGCTTACCACCAACGACCGGGGGCGCTGTTTTTGCAGAGGTTTGCACCTTCCGTGAGAAGGTCACCTGGACCGGCGGCGTGGGCGCGGCGTCCCCGCGCTGCCCGCGCTTCACCGGCGGCGTTGCTGCCAGCGGCAATGGCCCTCCTGCTGCTGAATCAGGTGCCACGTGGCGCTCTGGCCCGGACGCAGGGCTGCGATCCGCGCCGGCTGGTGGACCCTGCTGCGCCGATTGCGCGCGCGTGCTGCGACGTGGTGGATCCGATGGAGGACGCCGCGCGGCGCCTCTGCTGCCCTTGCCTGATGCTTTGCCCATCGATCCTACTGCAATCCAACAAGCGCGAGCTCCATATAAGGACCCGGCTCTCAGATCGGGCTCATTCTGACGGGGGCCATTTATACATTCAAATGTGTATCTAAGTGCGCAAGTATGTGTACACGTAATCGAATTGACCACTGTAGATTATGATGAGTTTCATATATGGCCGCAGCAATCATTGCCAATGGCCTCTGTTGACCAGCGCAGGGACGTCACCACAACGGTGCAGTCAGGAAGACAAGAACGAACACCCCTCCATCAAGTTTCCTATCCCGCACGCCCAAAACTTTCTGCCATGGAAGTTTAGCACGCCATGTGCCGTGTGGCAAACATGCACTAGAACCTGCGCAGGCACAACAAATAGGAACTCCCCCCCCCCCCCCGCACCACTCGAAACAAACCTGTCACCATGCAGTTGCGGCCATCACCATGGCTGCAAGACAGAGCACCGCAGCCGAGGCTCGCATGGCCGCAACCGCCAGGGACTGTTCACCAAGCCGTTCGCTCCCTGCCACTCGAACCAAAAGCTCAATATGTGGGCTCCTTGGAGGTTACTCTCTCACAGCCTGACCGCTTGAGGGCGCCTCACCACTCATCCCCGCCCGATTTGAATCCCAATCGCCACATAAATTACAGGAAAGCAGGCAGGGATTCACCTCATAAAGGTGTGTGGAATGAAAGGGCCAAAAGCAGATACTGTGGCTGGAATGGATGTTTCAATACAAGGGAGTTTAACAGAAGCACGAAGGTCAAGGAACGCAACACCACGACTGCCCCGCTGCCCGGTTTGCTGGAGGACACCATGAGCTGCATTGCAATAGCAAGCACCAATTTGTGCCCGGCATGCAGCAAGAAGATCCGCACAATGCCGAGGGGATGCTGACCCCTCGGCAGCAGCGTGGCATCACCTAGCTCTCTTTCTTCTCTTTCGTGCTGCCGCCGCCCGCGACGCTCACATCTGCCGCTGCCGCCGCCGCCGCTGCCGCTGCCGCTGGCGGCGCCTCCACGCCGAGCCGCGCCGCCAGGTCTGGGAACAGCCGCTCGAACCAGCCATCGTTCGCGCGCGCAAAGCTCATGAAACACGAGTCCAGTATGGTGAACAGGTTCACGACCAGCAGCTGGAACTGAACAGGCACGAGCTTGAAGTTTGCGGCCTGGACCACCGGCCACACGGTCAGCTCCGCGCTGAAGGTCGGCCAGAAGTCGCGCCGCAGCTTCCTCATGACTTCCTCCGGGCCACCGCCCTCGCAGAGCGCCATGTGGGTGAAGTAGCCGGCGACGTGCAGGGGGCCGAAGAGGGCGGTGTCGGCGATCACCTGGGATGAAATAATATAAGATGGGTTGTCGATCAGCCTCGTGGCGCATGGGATGCCAAGGATCACGGGGCAAGGAATCCAGTGGCTTAACCAAAACTTGAAGGTGTGGGCTCGCGCTTCGCAGGCGCTGGTGCGAGGTGCAGAGACGAGCGCCTGCACAGCTGGCCATCTCGTCCATGCGCAGCCCTTGTCCCAGGATGCCTGCGCCTTGTGGCTATGTCCTTCCGCTGCAGCATCCAACACACACACACACACACACACACACACACACACACACACAGAGCAGCAGCAGCAGCAGCAGCTCCACGCATATCTACCAAGGCCTCACCTTGCCGCCGACAAACGCAAAGCTCCCGGGTGTCAGCAGCGCACGCGCCGCCCTGTCCAATGCCATGTACCATGCGTGCCCAACGGGCCCTATGAACGCGGCCCCATAAGCGCAGGTCAGCAGGTTGCGCCGCGCATCAAAAGGCACGTCCTCCAGCTGCTGCGCCAGCGCGTCGCCGGTCGCCCTGCGGGCTCGAGCGCGCGGGCGATCGGGCAGTCTGGCGGTCGGGCGGTCAGGCACCGGGGTGCTCACATGCGCTTGTAAATGGCCATGCATTAGCGTTTTCCAGCTGACAGGGGCGGCGGCGCGCCCCTGTCAAGGCTCAGACATTGTTGCTGTACGGTGACGCTCTGCTGACGACACCAGCCGTTGGCGTTCTTACTCACCACAGAATGCCTGTGGATACAATCTGTGTCCGCCAAGGGTGCTGTGAAAGCTGGTTTGAGTAGGCTCGGAATCCGCGAGCAAGCTGCGCTGCCATGGCTGGCAAGCGCTCTTTCCGGTGTGCCGCACCCGCAGCAGCAGCAGTGGCGGCGGCCCTAGGCAACCCTGGTTTGTGCTTCTGTATACTGGAGAGCCCAGGGGCTTCCAGGGACAGTGCGAGTGGTCGTATGCAGTAGCCTGCTTGTAAACGGAGCCCTTGACGTGGTTGAACTGATACAAGAGCGGGTTGGCGATGTCACTCGTTCACACTACGTTGCGCGGTAACCAACAAAGGCTAGGCAACAAAGCAGGTGATTAGAGACTGGAGCTGTTTCATATAGATTTGAATCAATCGCAGCCGTCGGGAATGATCTATGCGCGCCTGATCAGCGCAGTGTCGGGTCTTCGGCACAAGGCTCTAGTTCCATTGGTATCTTCAAGTAACCCAGTAGCTTCATTAGCAGTCTGCAGGGGCTTCGCGTCCCGACGTAAAGGCGGGATGAGCTCCGGCACCTCTGGCGGGAAGCGCAAGCTCACTGTGCGCGTCCGCTGCGCCGGCCGGAGTGCATGTGGGATCGCCTGCATGCATGCGTGTCGCTCTCACGCGCGCTGATGATGCCGCTGCCTTCCTAAAGCTCAATGAGCAGCATCGATTGCTGGAGTGCAGCTGGCGTGCCGCACCCTGCCGTTCTATGAACAGCTGGCACAAGCAAAACCAAGCTTTTGAGGGCCGAAACGCGCCGGTCAAACCTTGGACCAGCACTCTTGCCGCCCGTCAATGCACCCCAGATCGCGGTGGAGGGCTGCTGCCATGGGGAGCTGGACAAAATCTACGACACGCTGCAGCTGCTGCAGCAGAGGGAGGGCCGAAAGGTGGACCTGCTCATCTGCTGCGGAGACTTCCAGGTGGGAGGGGACGCGCTGATGTGGCGCTGGGGTGCAGCCGCCATGTCATTGGCATGGCGCTGATGTGTTGCTGATGTGTCGTTGATGTGATGACTGATGAGTGTCGGGC